GGTGTCATTTATTTACGTAACCGTGTAGCTGAAGTATGATCTCATGCGACGTCAGTACTTTAAAATATTTCTCTTCAAAACAGACATGGAAGGAGCGACTAGAATGTTGGCAGCTTTAATCTACTGCATCTGGTTTTGAGGGAATAATAACTTCTTCAAAAGAAATGATTGTTCCTCATTGATTTTGGCTCATCTGTCTTCATGTTTTCTCACTTCCAAAATGCTTATTAACATTGACTTTCTTTCTAGCCTGACTGCTGCAGGGATTTTATTTATTTGTATTTTTTTTTTTTTGCAGTACGCGGGCCTCTCACTGCTGTGGCCTCTCCCGTTGCGGAGCACAGGCTCCGGATGCGCAGGCTCAGCGGCCATGGCTCACGGGCCCAGCCGCTCCGCGGCATGTGGGATCTTCCCAGACCGGGGCACGAGCCCGCGTCCCCTGCATCGGCAGGCGGACTCTCAACCACTGCTGCAGGGATTTTAGATGCTAGCCAGAGAGAAAAGATTTCTGTCCTACTTTCATGAACAGGAAGATCCAAAAGTCAGGTATCAATAGATGCCTTCTGAAAGGAAAGATTTACGTCTAAAAATGTTAGATACCTGGTTTCATCAAGGCTGAAGGGAGGAATGTTATGAATCTTTAAAATATGGCTCTTGCCATTTTGTTGTCTTTTTGGCTATAGTATATGTGGCAAACTTCTCAGTTATGATTGTGGGACATTTAGAATCATGAAGTTTTTGCTCCAGAGTTCATACTTAATTGAATTTTCAGTTCAAATGTTGTTCGAACTATTTTTCAGTATTGAGAGATTACATAAGGCCCCATACTTTAGAATTTTTTAAAAAATTCCCATATTAACTGCTTTAAAACCTTTTATTTCTCCAGAGAGATTTCAGGATTTCAAATAAGTTTGTGTTCAGTTCACTTAACTGAACACACACCATTAGAACACCATCCAGTAAGTAAGTCTTGGTTAATAGTATGTTTATAGGACAGGTGCATTTATAAACTGTCTCTTCTAGGTTTGATGCAGGATAGCCCCTGTGGTTTATCTGGGAACCTGGTGGTAAAGCACGGAGAAGGGGTAGACAGTGGTTCTGAAGACTCTAAAATAACAAAACCACGCTGTGAGTACACTGTACTGTTAGATTCACTGAAATCTGAGTACATGTTTTTTAGTTGAGTAATTCATAACGGTTCTGGCCTTTGTGCTGTGACTTATCCAACCTGTGAGTTACTGTGATCTGCCTGGAAAACTAGTTTGGTGTAAATTGCTCTTTACCCCTCGCTGATGAAGAGAATAATCATATAAGCAGAACTATTTGCATCTATGTGTGCTTTTTTGTTCAAACTTTTTTTTTTTTTTTTTTTTTCCTCTGCGGTATGCGGGCCTCTCACTGTCGCGGCCTCTCCCGCTGCGGAACACAGGCTCCGGACGCGCAGGCCCAGCGGCCATGGCTCACGGACCCAGCCGCTCCGCGGCATGTGGGATCTTCCCGGACCGGGCCATGAACCCACGTCCTCTGCACCGGCAGTCGGACTCCCAACCACTAGCGCCACCAGGGAAGCCCCTTCTATGTGTGCTTTTTAATGTTGGTATCACTTCTTCCCCTTTTCCTGTTTTGGAGGCTGTCAAATGGATCTTCTAATTTATAAGTGTCAGATATATTTTTGTATTAGATTGTGCCTATGATGAGAGAAATCTCTAATGTATATTTTATGTACTTGGAACACATTTATAATTTGACGCACTTTGAGGCATGGTCTAGTACTAATCATGTAATATGCATCTTTGTGATTAATGTGTTTAAGATTTTACTTTTACTGGGTTAGGTATCTTTGATTTCAGCACATGATAGCTAAGTATTTGAGTAAAGAGTTATTACTTTCAGATGTCACAGAAAATCAGAATATTTATTGTCTCCTATAAGTCAATTATTTAGAGAATTTGCACTTTTATCTTTCTGCCAACTCAAATGAAAGGACAGCCCATACATGATTTTAAAAATACATACACACACGTGTGTGTGTGCATACATGTATGTCTTTGCCATGTAAACTTTCCTAGTTGCTTCCTTAAGCAGATTGTGGTGGCAAGTATTCAAATATTGCTCCTTTACTCTTACTTTATTTTATTTTATCTTCTTTCTTTTTTTCCTTCCTTCCCTCATTCCTTCCCTCCTTCCTCTCTCTTTCCCTCCCTCCGTCCCTCCCTCCATTCCTTTCTGTATATTTTGTGGAAAAAAATCTTGTTAAGCCCAGATCCTCCCAACAAGATACATAGTAGAGGGAGGGGACTTGAAGCTAGAAAGAGGAAATAGAGAAAGAAAAGGACAGGGGAGGGGGGAGCAAGAGAATGGAAAGTTGGTCCATAAAAAATGTGCCCCTTCAGTTAAAGTGAGCAAAAATCACACAATTGGCTAACATGTGAAAACTAGCAAGGGACCTGAGCTCTAGTTCCTAGTTGACTGGAGTATTCAATAGAAGCAACACACTTGTAACTTAGCTGAACTCTGGATTACACTTAACTTTCTCCTCCCATAGGCTAGTGGTTCTCAAGTTTTACTTTTACAGATTATCTCTACTCTGAGATTCTGATTCAGTAGGCTCTAGGTAGGGCTTAGGAAGATATTTTTAACGGGCCCTTGGCTAATTCTAGTGCAGGTGGTCTACATTAGAGAGACATTGCCCTAGGTTATCATCTTTTGGTAAGAATTTAGTAAATCTGAGAGAAGAGTCAAACATATGGCAAGGTTATGCATATTATGGGGCCACTGAAAAAAATGCTTCTAACCCATTGGTTTTCTAAAGTAGGAGATTCCTGAGCTGACTTTTAAAGGAGGAGAAGGCTGCGGTCAAGTTAAAATGATGGCTGGAAGGATGTCTCAGGCCTTGGACCTGATGAGCAAAGGCACAGAGGTGACAGGTAGCATGTGTATTCGGGCCAGGTCTCTAGAAAGCCAAGTGGAAACCAAATGGTAAGATGAGGTAGTTACACAGAGGTCACAGTGTGATCCTTGGGCTTCTATAGAGTAAGTATTTGAAGGGGGGAGGGGCAGGGAGCAATGGAGAACAAAGTAGATTTGCAATTTAGTTAGATCCCTAGTGACTGAAAGAGATGAACACAAGGACAAGAAGATTGTAAAGCCACATCACATCACTAGGAGTTCTAGAAATCAAAGCAGCACATAGTGGTCTGAAAATTTTTTGTTAGATGTTTTCACTGTAACGGTTTGCATTTCAGAGCGACTTGAACAGAACAGTCATTGCAGAAATGTGGAAAGGGTACAGGCTTGCCTTCCGAGTAACAGGTATTCGGCACAGCACATAACGTCTAATTGGCGTTCAACATGACCCACCAAGGTTGGTTGGGTGACACAAAGGTATGTGTCTCTCATTCCAGGAGTCACCATACATGGGATCTCTAATGTTTGTATTTGGGGTTCTTAGCTCAGTTTCATTACACCTTTGATAGTTAATTATAAACCAAACCCTCATTTCACTTTTGTTTACACTACCAAAGTGTGCTGCGGGGGCAGTGATGAGGACCGAAAGGCATACCATCTGCAGTTCTAACATCACACTTAAAGTCTCTTCTTTACTGGTTTTTTTTTTAAATAAATTATTTATTTTTGGCTAAGTTGGGTCTTTGGTGCTGCATGCGAGCTTTCTCTACTTGCGGTGAGCGGGGGCTACTCTTCGTTGTGGTGAGCGGGCTTCTCATTGCGGTGGCTTCTCTTGATGCAGAGCACGGGCTTTAGGCACGTGGCCTCAGTAGTTGTGGCTCGTGGGCTCTAGAGCACAGGCTCAGTAGTTGTGGCGTACGGGCTTAGCTGCTCTGCGGCACGTGGGATCTTCCTGGACCAGAACTCGAACCCGTGTCCCCTACATTGGCAGGCGTACTCCCAACCACTGCACCACCAGGGAAGCCCTTCTTCTTTTAAAAGGTAACCTTCATGAGAAATGGGGGCTTGTCTGCCACATAATGGGCACTCGGTAATAATTAATGGACGGATTAATATCCTCAAAATGCCGTGTGCAGCATAGATGTAGTCTGGGGCTTCAACATTGCTTATTGCTGCAAGGTGCTCTGGAAGTCTTAATGTTTTGTAACGTAAAAATGTTTTGTCAGATCTATGCCCTGATGATGTTATTTAACGGTTGATTTACAGTGATTCTTGTTGCCTTTTAAACATGTGGAAATGGATGACAATGAAAGCTGCTTGGAGTCTGATCATCGTGACTGTGGTGGTATTTAATGGCCAGCACAAATAAGAGCCTGAATGGGAAAAAAAAGCAGAGAGTATTTTAAAGGAGTCAGCGTTCCTTTACTTTGGTGAAACGGAGCTGAAGTTATACACAGTCCTCGTCGACTTTGCAACCTGCCCCTGATGGTATGGTTTGGGGAGGACACATCGTGCCTGAGGTATTGCAAGATCCAGAATTACGGAGAGACAGAAAGACTCAGGATCAACGCCAGATTCTCTTTCGGCAGGCGAGTTTCTCGAGATAAGTACTAAGCTGCATGATATTGTTCCAGTGTGGTGTACATGGTGGCAGAAATTATTCTTCAAAAAGGTGACTAGAGAGCAACAGATTATGGGGGGGGGGGGAAGAGTGGTGTTATGCGGTGGCAGCAAGATAGAACTGCCGTAAATCTATTTCTCTTTCTTTCCAAGCCAGCTCTTATTTTAGGCCGAGAGATTCAAATCAGAGAGGCTGTCGCCTGGACTGACTCCCGGCAGTTTGGAAACGTTAGTTTCCCACGCCCCGTTGTGTTCTGACGGAAAAGGCGAAGCCCACCACAGTGCTCTACCGAGTTCCGGCTTTTGTCCTTTTTGGCTCCCCATTGGCTGGGGCCGCCGAGGCCCCGCCTCCTTCCGAGGCCGTCTGGAGCCTTCAGCGGGAGGGCGGGGCTTTGTGACGCAGGGGTGACGTTCCCCAGAGGTATAAAAGACACTGCCAGGCGCTTCTCCACGAGCCGCCCGCAAGGGGGCAACGAGGAAGCCGTTTAGATCGTAGCTGGAAAGGAGAAGGTGGGGCGAGTCTGGAGAAAAGGCCCCCGGCCCCGCGGCAGTTAGGCCCTCGCAGCGGAGGGGTTGGTGGACAGTTCACGTGTCGGGAAAGGTGGCGGACCCCGGAGTGGGAGGCCGGCGGGTGCCCACACCGGCCAGTGAGGCAACTGCTGGCCAAAGCGCGTGTGGCGGACTCGGGGGTACGGGGTCTGGGTCGGCGGGTCCGCCGCCGCCACCGCTGAACTAGTCGGGGTGGAATCTGGACGCCCTCTCTCCCGCGTCTTTTTTCCGCCTCCACCAAGCCAGCCAAACGGCAAAACAAGCACAGACCCCAGCGTAGGTGTTTAGGAAGTGAGTGGTGGGTGCCGTTGACGTTTTCTGTGGCCCCAAAGCCCCTATTCTCGCATCTTCAGCCAGAGGCACCGTTTTCCTGCTCAGGCGTTACCCCTAGGTTAGTGGGTTTGGTGCGGGGTGTGGGGAATGTAAAATCTGTTAGTGTTTGACAAATGTTTTTGTCAAATACACAAGAAGTTTGAGCAGAGTTAGTAAGCTATTTGAAACAACCCTCAACGTCTGTACTCGTGACTATCCGTTGATGTAGTTGAGGATCGGTGTCACAGCGTGTCTCATCTTGTGGAGGACAGTCCCGCACCATTCATGAAGCCGGGGGGGCGGGGGAGGGGCGCGGCGCGGCAAATCGAGGATCGCTGCGTGGGCGTTCTCCCCATGGTCGGTAGCACCAACTGCTGACTACAGAACGGGTGTTTTGTTAGCTCCGTCGTGGCTACCGGTAAGCCACTGTCAAATCATGACCCATCTCTCAACTCGCACTGGGGTGCAACGGATGTACTTAAAAAATATGTGTATATATGGACATATATGTATACGTATATACATCCATATACACATATATATATATCTATATAAAATATAAATGAAGTGAATATGTATCATCCATATAATTACCGCCTATGTCCCTTAACATTTAGCATGGGGCCCTGCTACAGGTGCACTACTGGTTTTTTAAAGATGGTTTAATTCAGTAAAGCTCCTGTTGAATGATACTCTGATAGTAAGTTTTCATTAGGCGATCGAATACAGTACCCTTAATTCTCAAAGGTTTTGCTCTGGCGATATTCATTTTTTCCTGACCTTCAGGAAGATGAAATGTGTTTTTAAAATATTCAGCATTTTGCTATTAGTTGCTTTTTATTAGAGGTTGGCCTTTTGTATAACTGCTGTAACTAAACTGTGCTCTTTGGCCCCAACAATATTGAGATATTGTTGAGGACATGGTTCATTATATCACACTATTCTTCTCTTTATGAGGACCCATAGGAGAAATTTCTCCTGGGTCTCAGTGCCCAGAAGAGCTGTGATTCTCCCAAGCAACTGATTTGGTTTTTTATCTCAGGAAACCTGAATCATTTAACCAACCATTTCCTATTATGTGATGGCTACTTGGTAATTCAGGGGGCTGATGTGACACTCCATCTCTAGTATAGGACCTAAGGCTTGTCTTGGGATACTACCTGTGGCTTCATCCTATTTTTCCTACCATACTTTTCCCCTTAACCACTGAACTGAGTTCCTTAAATATTTCATTTTCTTCTTTGTGTATATTTATAAGCCCTCTTAAATAATTTTTTAGAATGAAACAGGACACACATACACTGACAGTTTAGGGTGGCAACCTCTGCAGCTAAGAGTTACAGGTAAGACTGTGTAATGCCCTTGGTACCACTTAAAATCCAGAAAGCCAAAAGAAGGGAGAGAGGAAAACTATGGCAGAGGTTAAGGGAAGATACGAGAAAAGAGGTATGGATGGTGGTGGGTGGTATAATACCACAAATTATTACTCAGATGAATATTAAAAACAAAATTAAAGTTAAAACATGTATACTTAAGGATGACCTGTATCTGGGGATATATTTAGAAAAGTGAGAAAAAATACATTTTCTTGTAGAAATTCTACTTTGTAACTCTATTTGATGAATGTATAGAAAAGCCAGTTCCCATATGGTTTGGAAGGCTGTTTCTTGGACACAGATAAATGAGCTCGATTTATATTTCTTGATATTTTACTGCACAAAATATTTACTGAATTTTATAGAAACAGGTTTTGTTCGGTTTGTTTTTGTTCTTTGTTTTTAATATCATACTGGAGTTCCTGGCTGGGCTTTTCCCATGGATTTCTTTAATAGTACTAGATTGCTCATCTGCACATAATAAGTTGTTGGTAGTATAGTTCTTTTTTTAAAAACTACTATTAACATTAGCCCATTTTACTAGAATAGATAGAGATTAGAACGAAGGCTAGTGATTTTCATAGGAGATAGATTTGTTCTTAGAAGCTATAGTTAACTTGTAAATTTTTAATAAAATACTTATATACTATTTATAAGACTTTGTGTTTCTTCATTATAGTTGAGATTACAGACATCCCGCCAGAATGATTTCTGCAAGGCCCAGACTTGTTGTACCTTATGGCCTCAAGACTCTGCTTGAGGGAGTTAGCAGAGCCATACTCAAAACCAATCCACCAAACGTCACCCAGTTTGCAGCAGTTTATTTCAAAGAACTTATTGTGTTTAGAGAAGGTTTGTTATTGCTTTAGATTATATATTTGTTGCTTTGAAAAAGAAAGCATTTTAAATTGGGAGTTTTACGTATCTGATTTCCTGTATTTCTTTAGGAAATAATTCTCTGGATATAAAAGATCTTGTTAAACAGTTTCATCAGATTAAAGGTAAGTACAGTAAGTAGTAATAGTTTAATAAAAATCTAGTTATAAATTATCGCATCATTCCTAGCATACATTTAAGCTTAAGAGTGATGCTCACAAATATCGTCTGTTTAAATAATTACACTGATGTTTAAGTAATCACACTGATGCTTTATTTTTATTATTGAATCCGTTTTTTAAAAAAATCTGAGAGCTGACATTTTGGAGGATTCTAAATTTTAAAATAGGAAACACTCTTCTTTTGCAAACCATTTGGTACAGTGAGACCTAGAAGAGTGTGTGTCAACTGTGACTCGAGCCCTTTCCAATATGCCTGTCTTTGAATTGAATTTTGTGGTAATACTCAAATTATAATGAGATACATCACTTAGGAACATTGTAGAAACACTCTTCTTGGAAGATTATTTTAGTAGAAAAGGTTAATCACCCTTTTTTTTTCTCCCCATAATGGGGAGCTTGGAGGGCAGGACATCGATTAGGTGTCGCTAACCATCTTTTCTGTTCCAAGAGTCTCTTTATGTAGTGAAGAGACAAGTTTTTCATAGAAGGTGGTCTCTGGCCTGTCCCTGTGATGTAAGGCTGTATGTCTGCTTAGAAAAACTTGTTTTACGTGTATATGTGTAAATGTCTATCTTATGTGAACATAACAGCATGAAACTGAGTTGATGGAGGAGCAGTGAAGAAGTCAGAGGGGGAGAAAGGAAAAAGGCGAAGTTTACATAATGAACATTTGGGAAGATCAGTATAAGCAGAAGGGGATATATTAGTTAAATCCCAAGGGCAGGCACACATATCTAAAAGAATGGTAAGAAGAGCTTTTGGAAGAATTTTGTGGAGAAAATGGTGACTTAAGGTGAGTGTGAGAAATAACTAAATAATGCTACATTGGCTGACCAACATTTTGAAGTGACCATAGAAAAAGTAAAGGTAGGATCAGTGAGTTTCAGCCACTTTTATTCTCTGCCACTGATGTTAATAGATAACATAGCCAAGATAGGGAGAAATTAGGGGTAGACCTAGAAAAATGTAAAAATCATGAGGGTTTGGATCTACAGTGAAAGAGACACCCAAAACAGAAAACAAGATTAAGAATAGCAAGAGTCAGCATTTCAAGGGGTAGGAGAGTGAATCGCCGTGGTTTAGGAATATTTTATTGTCTAGTCTGGGTGCTTCCCTGCAGGGTCCTGATGGCATTCTCAGCTTACCAAAGGAAAGAGGTCTGAGATTTGCTTACCACCAGCAGGATATACAGACAAATGCTGGAACACTGACCACTCTCCCCCTTCCCATGAGCCTGGTTTTCCAGCCGGTCAAAGTTATTATTGTACTTGTGTCCTTTATACCAAGAGCTATCTTTGAGAGGACTGGCTGTGCAGGCTTGCTGTGTTTGAGAATGGTGATAAAGTGAGTGACTCTTTATCACTGCCTCTTTTTGGTTGTAGGTAACTAAGTGGTAGCCTTTGTGGCTAATCTGTTTACTGAAGAGTATACCCACCATTCAGATTAGCAAGTGGACTAAACTGACGTGGATTTTGGTCTAGCTAGGGTAACATCTTTGAATCTCAGGGTTCAAAATTAACAGACTGAACTAATGGAGCAGCCATGCTTTTGATGGAGGTAAGGGGTAGGAGATACTGCTGCCTTTCTCCTCCAGTAACTGTAGATATCAGAGAAATTGACATAGTGTAGACTCACAGTATGGCTGCAGAAACAGATTGCTCTTTAGACAGCAGAGTAGAAACGAATGTTGCTTGTTCTTCCCCAGAGGGTTGGGGAAGGTAACACGAAGGTATGACCAGAAAATATAGAGTTCAGTGTTACGGTCTAGTATCAATTGGGCTCGTTTTGTCTGCCTTTTATTGTCATGCCAAATGGCTTCTTAATGGACTTCTTCATTAGTATATATAGGATGGATAAACAACAAGGTCCTACTGAATAGCACAGGGAACTATATTCAGTAACCTGTGTTAAACCATAACGGAAAAGAATATAAAAAAATAATATATAACTGAATCACTTTGCTGTACAGCAGGAAAAAAAAAAAAAAAGACAGCACCAGTTTTTAGAACTTGGTGATAGGAGCAAGAGCTAAACTACCATCCCTGATGCATTGGTCCCCACTCATCTCCCAGATATCAGATGTATCCCCCAAAGTTATTTCCAGCTGGTTAGTGTGCTGCTTAGCAGCATTACTACCAAGCTGCCCGTATGCATGGAAAGTGTGGAGATAAGTATATCCTGCACATATCTATTTTATTCAAACCCTCCATTCTGGGATTTTTCCTAGAAGGAGCCCCATTTTTGGTAGGCCTCTTCAGAGGACCAATAGTGTTCACCCGTCTCCCCATTGCATTCAAAATTTCTTGCAGAGGCAGGTGATGAAGGAGGGAAGAGGAAAAGAGCCAGACATGAGAGCAACTTTTCTCACTTCTCTGTCATCTCTCATCTTTTCTCCCGTTTTCCAGGGCCTGGCTCTATCCAGGCCTCCATTGTGGCGTTTCACCCACATGTGCTCATTTCCGAAGCAGCTCATGTAAAACACTTTCTTGGATCCTCCTCCTGTATTTTTCTGCAATTTGATTAAATAGGTCTTTTACTACTGGGTGAATCAGTGAAAGCTTTTCTATTTCTCAGGCTTCTCAGGAGAGCTTCTTCACAAATCCACATGAATCACTGAGGGGATTTTAGAAACTCAGGCAATATTTTAAGGCAGAACTCTTGTCTCAAGTTCTACCACTTAGTATATCTAGGAAAAGAAGGAAGAAGGGGAATGGAATTTTTTGAGTAACTGCTTTGTCCTAGGCATTTACAATATATTTTGTCAATTAAGAGAACTTTACATCACTACAACTTTACTCAAGAGAAATCTGATGCTTGGGAGTGATTAGATAACTTGTAAGTTTCTAAAATATTAATTGGTAGAGTTGGGATCTAAACTTAGATCTTCCTAGTGCATGAAGATCTTCCTAGCAGTAGGACTCACTAGTAGGGATCACTAGGATCCCTCTAGAAAAACCTTTAATTTTTGAACTCGGAGTGAAATCTCGGTTCTCTTTCCCCACATTATCTCCCACTTTTCACTTCTTCCTCCTGTCAGGAAGGAGTGTACTAATTCTGATCTCTTCACCACTCCACGAAGAGGGCAGTGGTTTCTCCATGAGAGTGGTAAGTGAGATCTCAACACCACTATCACCTTCCGTCCTCCTAAGCCTAATTGAGTCTAGTTTCTAGTGTTATTCCTGTCTTGGCTTCCAACAGAGGCAGGAAATAGCCACCTCTTTTGAAGAATCAAGAAGGCCTAGCCCACCTAGATCCCCAACTGAGTTACCTGTTAACTTTTCTAACTGATGCGGGACGTTCTTGGCATGGCCAGTTAGAGTCACGAACTGCTGCTCATCACTGAGCCCAGTTTCAATTCTTATGTAGCACCATAACAGTTATGCATATCATTAAATATTATCTTGAGTTATATATTCATATTAGATAGTCATAATATATGTTTTCAGCTTCTTATGCCAAATTCTATTTTTATGCCTTACAGAATTCATTACACATACTTGTAGCTATCCACTCTTATTTAAAAAAAAACAAGGAATCTATTTCAGGACTATCCATACTAAATTTTATGAGGCTCTGGTGTACTCTGTACTTTGCTGGGCACTTTTTTCAAGTACGGCTATACTGATTCCCTAAACAGGGATGAGTATTGTGTCAGAAGGACCCTCTTATTTCTGCAAGTCTTGTGTTTGCCTTGGCAGGGTGGCAATTTGTACCAAGGGTAAGAATTTTCACTTTTTTTTTGTCTTAAAAAAAAAGTTGCAGTGATTATCTGGCGATGTTGTTGGGAGTGGGGCTTAGGTCCTTCATGCTTTAATGATGTGGTAAGATTAATCACTTGGGGGAGTTGTCCATACTAAAGATCGCAAATAAATCGCTGAGCAAATGGTATAGTCAAGAATTGAGGTCAGATTGTCAGACTAGGGACAGAAACACAGGGTCAGGATTAAGAGAGGAGGGGGCCGGGAAAGCAGCAAAGTAAAACCAGGAAAGCTAGGATGGTAAACCAGGCTGCCAAGGTGAGGTCAGGAGCCACAAGTAGATGTCAGTTACATGAAGGAAGGAGACCTTCCTTCCTTAAGTATCTGACTCTGCTATCCAGAAACTCTGATAGCTCCATACTGTTCCAGACTCTTCAGTGTTGTAGGGGTACTTCTAAAAAAAATATTAAATTACTATACTCTGATTTCAGATAACCTCTATTTTTTTTCCTGTTTGCTCTGCTGATCTCTACCCATTGAAGCATTAATTTACTGTAGGGAAAAGGTAAATATAGTCTGGAGCAAGGAAGTCATTACTCAGTATTGAGTTTCCAAAGTTCATAATAAAAAAGCTAACACTTTAGAGTTTTGCAGGAGCCTGTTTTTTCTTGGAATTTCCGAAGCTGAGTTTTGATTTAAGACTTAACATGACCAGAATCAAGTTTTTACTTTATATAAGGCCATAGAGGAGGGAGGAAAAAAGATAAGATATAAGGCCATTTCCTGCTGCACAGGAAAGGGAAATGGAAAGTCCTTCTTGACAATGGGATTGTGGTGCTGGGGTGTGGGTAGTGCATGAAAAGTGCTAGCTGACATTGAAACTGGTGATAAGGAAGGTAGGTGGAATTTCTGATCAGAATTCCCTAAGACTCAAGCAGGTGGCTTGTTCTCTGCATTCCTGGGTGCTGTCTAGAAGAATGCATGCTTCTCAGAAGCTGAGTGGTTAGCATGGTACTGCCTTTAGCACATCACCTGCTACATTCAGCTCCTGCACTATAACTGTCATGATCAGACATTCAGTAAATACTGGTTAAATAAAATAATTACATCTGAAGCAGTGGATTAGAAATAATGGAGAGTGTTTCTCAGATGAGACTGAGATAATATTTCTTGTGTCCTATGGCCTGTGTGTGGCTTTTAGTGGATACATCTGATTGTCCCGGAGTGCTGACCAGCAAGTAATCC